TTATTATTATTTTTTGTTTACTATTTTTCACACAATTTTCACCAGTAATTTCTTTTTCGAAAGATAAAATTTAATTTTTTATAATATTATTTCGTAACCCGCAACGTAATTTTTAATTATTTTTATCTCACAGTTCAGTATAGACACAAATTTCACTATTTAAATTGTTCTTCAATAAATTTTTATTTTTATATTTCAGTTTTCAAAACCTTTTTTTTTATTAATTATTATACTGAAAATGCAGTATTCTAAAATTATTATTTTTTTTATTAATTATTAATTTGCAATTCAAATCATTATTTTGAGATTTCAGATTATAAGAATTAATTTTTTATAATTTATTATACTGAAATTTCAGTTTCCCAAATAATTTATAATTTTTTAATGAATCATTATTTTGAAATTTCAGTTCTTAAGTAAAACTTACAAAACGGAACATTTTCGCTGAGGTTAGTGACAATGTAAACTGCTGCTGTAGCTCCAAATAGTAGCTTTAAACCAAATATGAATGAGTTCGAAAGCGAATTTCGTGTAGCCTATACGATTGTCCGTTAAAACGGGGTGAACGCGCACACGTCAGTACCGAACCGTGAGCAGTTAGCGATTTTGTTTACTTCAAGAGTTGCTCTTGAATTTATTTAGGATTGAGGGTTTTCTTTAAAACCGACAGCGACAAACTTCTTAAACGAACTGCTTCTCACCGTAACCTGGTCAACAGTTTTTATAGCCGCCCAAAAGCACGCCGCTGCATGCCACGGCACCGCAGCGCCACCGCATACCAACACAGAACCTTGGCGGAGTACAAGTCAATCAGATTGAAGCCAGCCGCTGTTGTTGTTGTTATTATTGTTGCTATTATTGTTAATAGCACAAGTAATCGGTGAGTAGCATATGCTTGTATGTATGAAGGTATGTGCATGGGTGTGCAATTGTTTTTGCACAGCAGCGGCAGCGGCGAGCAGCAAGCGCGGTAGCTGGCAGCATTCAAGGCATAGGATGTCGGTGTATGGGTGTTGTAACGCCAATAAACAGAAATACAGTAAATAGACATATAAACAGTCATACTGAGAACAACAACACAAGAGTAAGCGTAACCCCAGCAGAAATGCGCAGCTTTGCCTTCAATGCTCTAATAAGTTGATTTGAGCATAAAAGCCAAGGAAAAGAAGCAAGAAAAAACAACAATAAATTCAGTACTGGAAAATAACAACAATAACATAACAAAGCTCTGGCAGCAACTACACTAGGTGTTGTTGCGCTTTGCTTTTTGTGACTTTAGGTTGTTGTTGCAGTGAGGTGTTGTTGTTATTGCAGTTGGTGGCGGCTGACCACCAACCGCTGGTTTTCTTCACATTTTCCAGCGCAAAAACACAAAGCGCTCAGTGCGGGAACTAAACGTCGCCGTCGCCGTTGCAATGCAAATGTTTTGGTCGTGGCTGCTTTTTACAGCTTTTTTCAGCCTTATGAATGTCTTTAGTAAATAAAAGTGAATTTCTTTAGCGAACCAGTCATGATGGAGGAGTTCTAAGCTGGCATTCATTGTTTTCCACGCTTTGTTGTTGTGCATGCGCGCCATTGTAGCCACGTGATATGGAGCGCAGCAGCAATGGAAGTGAATATATAGTATATATTTATATGAGAATTTCTGCATTGATTGAGTTGCCACGCCACGTTTCCGTTCAAACGCTTTGCACTTGTAAAAGTTATTAAATTCTTGATGATGAGAATGCAAGTGACGGTGGTAATTGATATACTCCACTTTGGCAGCCAACTATATCAGTCGCTGTTGTTAGAACAGAAGACTTAAGACACAAACCTGAACAGGTGGCTCGTCGTCTGACACAATTCTTACATGTGTATTTCTGCGCACATGTCTGTGTGTGTGTGGAGGGTTGTATTTGCGGTTAATTGTGTTCAACTTTGCCATAATTGCCTCATTGTTGTTAGTCACAAACATACACATATGCATTTTTTCATTGCATAAAGTTAAATTATTAACGAATAATAATTCAATTCGAGTGCCAAAGGCTGAGATTTCGCAAATTTGTGTTTTCAAAAGATGATGTAATGTGCGCAACAACAAATGTAATCTGGTTTATGTTTGCTTTTGATCGTTTCGCTGCTACTTTCAACATTGTTTTAATTTTATTGGCCTGCTGATAGTGCAAATGATTTACATCTAACCTGTTGAGGAAAGGCCAACAATGCATTGACCAAGCCCAAGTGGCGCAAATTCAAATTGAAAACTAAAAAGCGAAGAAAAACTAATTATTGAAAAGTGAAAAATGAAGGCATGGCATATTGAAAGCTGTGGTGACTGTATATGTTTATACATATATTGTAAGTTTTATAAAAATGGTAAAATGGAAATAATTCCATGACAAAAAATTATTAAAAATTTAAATTAATACTGTGGCATAAAATTAGTTGAAGATATATAAAGAAATTAATAAATTACGAAAAGAAAATTTCATTATGAAAATGATCATTCTAACTTTGTTCTTGTATTCAAGAATTCATTTTACGTATGTACCACAAAAAACCTACAAGCAAGTGCTTGGAATTTAGCAGTTTTAAAGAATCTACATACCATATATAATATTATATTTGAGAATACTCTCATAAAATTTTGAGTTGACACGGCAAATAGCGTCAGGGATATGAATGTGTTTGTACAATTTATGGTAATTGGTGTAATCGACTCCAAAAAAACTATTAAGGAGGAAAATTTCAAAGGAATATTATAATGATCAAAGAAATACGATATTAAATAACTTTGATTTATTTTGATTAAGTCACTCTAAAATGTAAATTTTTTCCAAAAAAAAAACTTATTTAGGGAAGCCACTATTTTTGCAAAAATCAATATTTTATAAATGCTTAGACCATTACATATAATCCTCTTCCTTTTAAAAATTTTACAAAAAATGTATTTTTTTTTCGGACTTGCAAGGAGAAATAACCCCTTCTGACTAATAGGCATTGCAGTAAAATTTTTCACCGTTAAACTAGTACCTAGTTCAGTTTTTAACTCTTTGAGTTATGTTTAGAAACCGAGGATAATGGAAAAATACGTGTTCAGAGTTTTCAATGACTCCATGAACATCGATCAATACGGACCGACGTCATTTTGAAATTTATATTAAAAGCTTCTAAAGCAGCTATGCTCGCTTAATATTTGGGTCAGGTGGAAAACCACGTTCCCATGTTATCTAGTTATCCACGTATGGATATCTGGAATAAGCCTGTGGGTCCACCTTTTCTTTGATTCAGGTTTTCTACTGTGTTTGCCATATAATTATGCTCTCTTTTTTTCCCTCTTCTTTTAGTTTCTGTATTTGGCGATGATGGCTCATATTATAATCATGCATTTTTCGCCAACAGCTGCCCCTTGCCACTACGAACCCCTGAACTAAATTTGTGTTTTATATCTTAATTATGTCACTTTATAGGTTTTCGAATAGTCGCATTTTGTGAGCGTGACAGTGGTCCGATTACGACCATCTACAAATTCGATTTTTTTTTGTACCAAGAAACCTACATACCAAGTTTCATCGAAGTATCCCAATTTTTACTCAAGTTATAGCATGCAGAGACAGACGGACAGACGAACAGACAGACAGTCAACGGGATTTCAACTTTTCTCGACATCCTGATCATTTTTATATGCATATATAACCCTATATTTATCTCGCTTAGCTATACGTGATACTTATAACCGTTAGATGAACAAAACAATAATACTCTGTAGCAACTGGTTGCAAGAGTATAAAAACGAAAATACGATGTTTTTCGCAAAGTAGCTGTGTTATTAACCAAAAACACCAAAATGTTGATCGAAAAATTATTTTTTTATAAAAAAGTTGTAATAATAAAAATATTAGTTTTCATTATTTTACTAATGGAATGATATTTTTTATAACCTTAAAGTGTTCTTTGGATTAAAGAAAAAAATGTCGACTTTTTTTTATATGCCTATAATACAGATTTGGATATGTAAGTAGAAGGGTGGATACTAAGGTGCAACCTCACCAAAAATTTGCGTTTGGTATGTACCTTAGTGGACATTTAGTATTAAACTCTACAGAAAATAATAAAAATTTTTCAACCAATTTATATTAAAACAATTTTTACAGAGTAGAGTTAGTTATATATATATATATATATCTACAAATATACATATGTACATTGTCAAATGTGGATAACTGCGACAAGCGCTAACAAACTGTCAAGTAGATTCATTGTTACCAAATACGCTGATAAAAAAACTTGCCAAAGGCCATAACTAGTGCAGAAATAGAAGAAAATGCAAGAAAGTGAAGGGAGTTTATACAAAGCGCAATAATGTCCAGCTAAGACTAAGTACATGCTCAAGGATTTATTCCATTTTTAGCAGCGCTGCCATATAATTATTATTATATAACTTACATACAAGTGTACGAGTATAACATTCAAGTGAATAAATGAATTTGTTTTTTTAAATCTTTTTCGAACTCCACACTGACTTTTTGGTGTGGCCACAAATACATAGAAATTACTTTTATTAAGTGTTTAATGGAAATTTATAAAGAAAAAAAAATACGATTAGTTGGTTTATAAACAAGACTGAACAGAAAAATGACAAATACATAGATTTAATGAGAATTGGCTAATTGTTAGATGCAAACAATTTAAATGGAGTTCAATTTATTGCTTTGGCAGAGTTCAACCACACTTTGTTTTAATTCCGTCACAAGGCTTGCTGGACAAGCATGCATGTGGATATGCCATATATATATACATATATTTATAAATATATACATATGAATGCATATCTATAGACTTAAAGTTTTAAAAGCAGACATATGTATATATATATATTTATTTACATGCATGCATGTATGTATGTTAAATGCTGTGAAAATCTCAATGTTTTACTCTTTTATTTCTATTAAGCACTTAATGCAACTAGTTATGCCGGTTTCATTGATTGTAAGCAATACTTATTCAATTATTTTGTGCTTAGTACATATATACTAAATACAAACAATCTAACAGAAATGCTTGTACTATCTAAGCAACAACAAACAGTTACCGCTCTCTGCTGTCAGGTAAGTAATGCCCACCCAAAAGTTGGATTAGTGGATAACCGTACATATTGATATGTGCCAGGTTTGATATAGAGATATATGCACCTCTTAGATCAACACTAATGGTAGCTTATAAATCTCTTAAAATTATTCGAGTTAACAATTGCGATTTATGAAGATCCTTTCTAAAGATCAATATAAAAAATTCACAACGCTTGTTCTAGAAACAAATTAATAAATCTATTTATTCAACTGAGAGAAAATACTGAAATTTGTGTATAAGCAACAAATAATAGATAATTTTTAAACAATAGAAGCCAAGCTGTCTAAAAAACCAAAAACAATGAAAACCCGGCATAGGAATGACACCTCAAATATGGAAACTGCTCATTTGTCGGAAACGCCTGGTAGGTGCCTTTTAAACAGTTCAATCAAAATCTAGTTCTTGTATGAAAAACTTTTTTTGTAGTCTTTACCTTCTTCGATATATCATATATCATTGAAATCGGACCATTATAGTCAAACTGAATGATCAAAATCAAAATAAATATCTTTTAATTATTAAGTAAACTTAATTCGACTTGGAGGCCACCAACATGGCTAGTAAAACTAGCAA